TAAAATTATTTTGTTGTATGAAATGACAGTTGAAAAGCATTCCTAAATTTTCAAGATATGCCGATGTTAGTTGTACAAATTTAGTTGTTAAAATTCGACTACCTTAAAGCATAGTGAGCAATAAAATGCATTTTTAAAAGTATAATGGGCAATCAAAGAAGTCTTTCAAACTATAGTGAGCAATTAAATACGTATTTTCTCAAGTTGCAATTTGATATATCATAAGTTACATCACTGTTTGTCATTTCCATGCTAAAAATGTGTGAGTACAAATAGCATTTTCCAAATCCATAATCTATATTAACATAAAAAAATATACACAAAAAACCATCAAATATTTCTTAGCAGCCAAAAACATATTCCAAAAACATCCAAATATCTTGAAACTTGTTGCAAAATTATTTTGTTGTATGAAAAAGATACTTTGAAAGCATTCTTATATTTTCAGAATAGGTCGACGTCAATTTTATAAGTTTAGTTGTCAAAATTCGACCGCCTTAAAGCACAATGAACAATCAAAATCATTTTTAAAAGTATATAGTGTTCAATCAAAGAAACCTTTAAAAGTATAGTTGCTATCAAAGATGTCTTTAAAAAATAGTGAACAATCAAAAGTGCATTTTCTTACTTGGCAATTTGATGTACTGTGAGTTACGCCACCAATGCATTCTGTCTATCATGTCTCTAATTCTGTTAGAGTTAACTAACGAATATCATGTCAGTGAGTAACGTCCAACATTTTGTCAAGTCTAGTGATCAAAACTAAACATCTGAAATTTCAATGAGCAGTCAAAAATATAGACATAAGTTTAATGATTATTATGACAATTAACTCCTTAAAACCCTTTCTTCTCTAAATTTATTACCTTATTATGCAATTGGATCCTTGGCACCTATAGGTGTAGAATATTTATTTTATTTCATTTTATCAAAAAAAATTTATGCATGTTATGAGGTATTCAACAGGCTCATCATTGAGTTCAAAATTGTAGTTCGAGGGTGATTATACAAAGTTAGTATTACAATGCTCTTAATTCCTATATCATTGAGGGGTGTGCCTTAGAAGAATCGATTTGTTACTATGTCATCTTATTAGAAATAACAAGAGCGTCTATTAATACTCAAAATCTTATATCTCAAGTAAGTTTTTAAAAAAATTACGCAAGTTTTAGCAAATGCAGCTCTTCAAGGTTGGATCTTGGGTAGGGGTAACTTCTACCATGATTTCATCTCACGGAAGAAAGAACTCACAGTTAAGTGCTGCCTCCATACTCGAGTGGATCAACTCTGTTGACGAGGAATGCCTCTAATTGTACAATCATGAAGACCTATACAGTTCAAATCTTTGTGAATTTTGTTTATAGTTTTGTCCTTTCCCTTACTCTCTTTATCATGATGGACAACAAACTTGTATGTGGCACGACTAAAGATGTTTTTGAACCCCCTAAAAAAAGGATCATTGAGATGCAGCTAGATCCCACTTTTGACCGGTGACTCTTGAAATGTTTGGTGATACCTTGCATAATAGAAACGTCATCCCAAGTGTACAACAACCATTTGTCCACATTTTAGTATTTTACGAACCAGCCCCAATATTAGCAGAATTCTGCAATTTAGCCCCTCCAATTTCTGAATTAAGTCAGACCCTGCTGTTTCTAGAATGTACAAATTGGTACCCCTAAGGTTTCAATGTTCTATAAATTGGTCCTTGAACTTTTGGACAGTTTCGTATCGGTCCCTGAACTCTCTATAGAGACACATTGGTCCTTGAACTTTTAGTTTACAGCAATTTGTCCCCTGATGTTTCTAAATTGTTTAAATCAACCCTTAAACATTCAATTTTCACATATGCCACTGAACTTTGTGGGAGATACAAATGGTTCCTAAAATTTTTAATTTGTTCAGATTGATCCATGTTGGTTGGTTAGAAAGATTGAATGACACAACTCACCATTGTTGTCCAAAGAGTGCATGCTCGTCATCCAATCCATTTACCTCGATGTCATGGTAGTAGTCCATTTATTATTCAATAGCTCCATAATATATACTCGGTCAATTTGCTTTTTTTCAATTTATTTCTTGAGTATACTACCAATTTTACTGTCGAAATATTTTAAATGAGACATCAAATCTGTGTCAAGCTACCTTCAACATAAACAGAACTACGTAATATTTTCAAACGTATACACAACTATGTGTTTCATATTTTTGTAACCGTTATGGGATATTTTTCTAAAAAGTAAGTAGTATTTGAATCTTGCAGTTCAATCCACTATTCTGTGCATTCTGCTTCCGAAAGCTATAATTCGATAGAAGACAAATACGTATTCTAATGACAAATTGGAAAACGAAGGAGGCTGCGGGTTTATATATGCCTATGAACCCTCTCACACTTATTATTTTAAACCGTTGGATTTTTAGTTAATAATTAACCAAGCAAATATAAACAATTATAATAGAATTAAATTATTAAATATAATTTTTCAATTCCTTTTAATTAACTTAGAGTGATGAAAAAGTTATGCAATACCAATGCATATGATTTTAGTGTGATGTTTTATTTAATCTACATGGCATGTAATAAATAACCATCCATTCATCATCCACAAAGAAATAATTAAATAAAGACTGCATCCTAAGAATTTAAATTACAAAAAAAAAAAAAAAATTTAAAGTATTCCATTGAGCCAAATTTTGGCGCAATTCTTCAATTTCCTTGTAGTCCAATCCATAAAATGTCCAAAATGTAGGTCTATTTAATTTTTGAGTTCTAATCTTTTAAACAAAAGTCCTTATCCAACTTGACAACCCTAGTAACACAATTATAAAACCACCATCCCTTATCGACGATGACAGCCCCAAAAGAGGCAGACACATCCACATTTGACGTCCCCGTCACGGGGTGTTAACTACAATAGCAGCTGTGACTGCCTCTTATGAGGCAGCTTCTACTACGTTTGGTTGTCGTGGCTATCTTCGCTTCAATAACGACGAATGCTGCAGTTGCCTCCAAGTTGGTCTCATTGATGTTTCAGAATTGCTTAAATCAACCCAATATGTTTCACATATGCCATTGAACTTTATGGGAGATACAAATGGTTCTTTAAATTTTTTATTTGTTTAGATTGATCCATGTTGTTCAGTTAGAAAGATTGAAGACACGCGACCCACTGATGTTGTTCAAAGAGTGCACGCTTGTCATCCAATCCATTTACCTTGATGGATGTCCACTTTTGAATTTTTTTTTTGTAAAGTTATGTTTGGTATCGATTGACATCTAAATTTTAATCTAAATCAAAGTTAACAATTAATTTTAATAACATATTTCATGGAATCCATAATTATTTAATTTTTATCAAAATTTACTAAAAACTTGAATTAAATCTCCATCAAACATGAGCAAAATCACA